CTGCTTCCTTCCGGGTTCCCCACGTTGTGCAAATCCAGGGGCGGCGCTCACACTGTCTCCTATTGGGGCTGTGCTCTAGGGGCACAGGCTGGTTCCCCTGGAGGTGTCCCCGAGAGTCCCCAGGTCCCGTGAAGTCACTGCTGCCGCTGAACCTTGTTGCTTCACACTACCTTTCCCTCCTCACTGATCCTGAAGGCCTCTAGACCACCTCCTGCCCCAGCGTCGCTAAGAATAAACATTCAAGCAATGGCAGTGGTGACCCACTTATTAGCAGATGCCACAGCTCCAGGGTACCGTGGTTGCTATTGAAAGAACAGAGAGAGAGACCGTGGCAGGGAAGGGAGACGTCCTTGGGCAGACGCTCTGAGTTCCAGCGCTACTTGAGTGAATGGAAGAAGCCCATCTCGCTACCCAGGAGTGAGGGGCGGCAGGAAGACAGCAGGTCAGTCAGGCAGATGGGCAGGATGCGCAGACACAGGTCACCGAGCAGATGCCATCCTGGGGCAGCGTCGCCCCAACCTCTGCAAACGTCAGGCTCCCAGGGCTGATGAGCAGGCGTGACCTGCCCCCTCGTTTTGGGCTCTCATCTCTGCCTCAGCTCAGAGACCCTGGGGAAGTCACGGTCTCCAAGTCTCAGTTTGCTCTGCTGTGAAATGGGATGAGGCCACAGACCTTACTGTTTGGAAACGAGAAAGTAATGGGTAACTCGCTACACTGACACAAACCACACAGCAGGAAGGACCTGGCAGTGCTCGGCCTGGCGCCTCCACTCGGGTACGTCACTCTGTTCTCCACCCCCCAACACAAGGGATGTTTCTTCCCCTGAATGGTACCGTTCTAGAAAGAGACTGTTTGGTTTTAAAAAGGGGATCGTGTGGGACTTCCCTGGTGGTCCAGTGGTTAGGACTCTGTGCTCCCAATGCAGGGGGCCCGGGTTCGATCCCTGGTCCGGGAACTAGATCCCACATGCTCGCATCCCGCAACTAAGATCCGGAGCAGCCAAATAAATAAATAAAAATAAAAAGGGAAGCCCGCGCTGTTTAAACGTCGCCAGTGGCAGGGAAGCGTTGCCGTGTAAGACTGAGACAAGACGGATTCAGAAAACAGCCTCCTGCCAGAGGAGGAGAGACCAGCACCCTTCACCGCTAACCTGAGCCCGAATCAGACTGACCTGCTCCTTTAGGAAGAGTTCAGCAGGCAGGATCCCCCCTGCAGCCCCCAACACATACCCTGTTTCTTCAAGGGGTGTCCGCAGGGAGAGGCCCCTCTGTCCGGCAGTGGGTGGCAGGTCACCTGCCAGGCTGCACCTCTCTCCCCACTCACCCGCAGACCCCAGAGGTGGACCTCACAGCTCCTGCGTTCAAGGCAGCATGGCAAGCCAGGGTGACCTTGTCCTGTCTCAAAGCAGCCCACGAGGGGCCCCCTGCCCCACGCTGCCAGTTTCCGGCTGGGTCTCCAGCCAGGATGAGCTCCGCTCTGCCATCTGCGGGCCCGGCTCTGCCCAGCCGGGGCCTGCTGGGCCGCCGGTGCCGCAGCGGCACCTGTCCACCTGTAAGCTGTGGAGGCCGCTCCTGCCAGCAGTGAGGAGGCTTCAGCACTCGGGGAGTCCCGCTGTCCCCCAGGACTTCCCTCTGACACTCTCCAGGAGGCGGTACTGACGGGGCCTGGGGCGCAAATGAGGCCGGACGGCCCTGCAGGAATGAGGAAGGAGAACAAGAGCGCCGGGCAGTGCCCTTGACTCAAGGGGACAGCGACACACGTCCTGCCTCCCAGACACTCGGGACAGTACGATTCCTGGACGGAACTCATTTCCATATGACCCTGCCGTTCACCAGCAGCTCCTGACTCTTCCTCAGCACATAGGAAAATGAAATGCTAAATTCTGACTTTGTTTCCTACTCAAGCCAGAGATGCTCTGCAGAGAGAATCCCAGGACGTTCCCCAGCCTGGAGGCAAGGTTGCGGGTCTGAAAGCGCTGTCCCATTTGATACTTCAAAGGAGCATGAGGGGTGGGCGGTGGGGCTCGGAAGATCAGATCCTGATGCTAATTCTCACGGGCCCTCATGACGGGGGCCCAGGTCACTGCTGGCTCCAGCTGTGGCGTCTTGCTGGGACGCCCTGGGGGCACGTGTGACTCACGGGACCACCCCCACCTCACAGCAGCCTGCTCTGCGGCTACTTCAAGGAGGGAGAGGGAGAAACTGACTCATATCAGCTGCATGGGAGTCACAGGATGTGGACAGAGGTCACAGGCTACGGGAGGGGAGGAGGAATTTTCCACTCATTAAGGTCAAGGGCTTCGGGAGGTGACCGGTAGCTGGTGGTAGAGAAAGCTCCCTTCTGACAAGTAATCATGATGCTACACAGGCTGGCCTCTGGAGATGGTTAATATCCCGAATATTCTCATTCTGTGTGTGCATCTCAGCAGCACTCCCGGGAAGACAGAGAAGAGACTGCTTCCAGAGGACTTTCTAAAAATTAAACCGTAAAGTTAAAGCCAGAAAAATACCGTCCTGGAATAGAAAAGAAGTGGCTATTAGAGGTCCTTTTGAACATGCAGGCCGGATAGGTGTATCGTGTACCTGAGACAAAGAAGTGGCTGTGCCTGGGGTGGGAAGGGGGCTTAAAACCCGCCCGCCTCCGTGGCCAACGCTGCAGCAACAAAACAGCTGGTAGAAAGAGGCACGACGGGATTCTCTAGGCGGGACGGACAATCTTCCAAACACGAATGACTGGGGGGCGAGGGGAAAGGATGCCCCTCTTCTCCCATGATCTGAAGGGGCCACTTGGTGGAACAAGGATGCAGGGATGAGCCCCGCGGGCCGGACTTGGGAGGGGAAGATGCTGTTAGCACCTGTCACAGAGCACCCAGGACGGAGGAAGGAAACCCACGTTTGCCAACCCCCTCCTTCAGTCGCTAGGCCGCTTCCGACTTACTAAGAGGGGGTGGCCTGCAGAGGGACAGAGCCCCCCCCCCCCGGTATTTAGGGTCAGGTGGCACAGCTCTGTGGAAGCCGCGGACCCCCTGGGAGCCACATGCAAAGTTGTAAAGTAACTTCTGAGACAACGCGAAGGTCCACCTGCCCTGAATTTCTCCAAACCAGGCAGAAGAGCACGTCTGAACCGAAAACCTTCTGAGCCAACTGAAGTCCCCGGCAGTGGGAGGGTGTCAACCACCCAGAGAGAACGGGCTGTTTCTGCTCAGCCCCGCCCCCTCCTATTTCGTGCAGCTTCTGTGGGCCCGGTGGCAATTAACTTTATGAGCTATAAGTGCAGTATCTGGGAGACAAAGGCTGTAATTAATGCCTGTCTGCTTTCCTGAAGGGCTCCTTCTGTTCGGTCAGACAGTTATTGAAACTCAGGCAGGGAGGCTTCCATCATGTGGAAGGTTTATAGGAATGAGAGGAAGAACAGTTTAATAAGGCAGTAATGATGCTGCTAAATAATTCATCGGGCCGATGGCGGCAGCAATATTCCCAGCACTCCGTGTCTGTTCTGCCGATGCGCGAGGGAATGAGCCAGGCAGACCCTGCACAGCCTCCAGCAGCGCCCCCGGTACAGACCTGCCTGAGGGGCTCTGCCGCTGACCCTCCATCCTGGACCTGCTCCCGGGTCTGTGCTGAGCCCCTGGGACCCTTTCTTCAACCTCCTCCTTCTGCCTGACTGTGCCGGTTAGAGATCCAGATGGGTCCTTACAATTACCAACACTTCTGCTAATTGTATCAATCACGGTTTGTTGAAAGCCGAGAGGCTAACAGGCCTCCGCTCTCCCGGGTTCTCCTGGTGGCCCTGCTGAGTTCTCTGCCTGCCCCCAAGGCTGGGGAAGTGGGGAAGGGGCCGGGAAATTAACCTGCCACCGAAGTCCCATTGGACCTTGGCTGAGATACAGTCCTCCTAGAAGACACCCTCCTAGCCGTAGCTGACCACCCGACTGGTCCAGAAACGCACAGAGGAAAACAAATCTCTCCCGGGGCTGGGGCCACAGGACTCCTGGGGTAGGTCGATAGGATAGGACTGGGAAGGTGAAAACCACCATTCCGCTGTCCTTGGGGTTAACAAATTCAGAGCCGCATAACACAGGTGGCGGGCCGCAGGAAGCTCTGCCAGGATAGGGATAATTAAGTCAAGAGGCCGACACCCTGAGCCTCCCTGCGAGGCCGGCTCTCCCGTGTCCCGCGTCCCGCTTCACATCAGCTAAGTGGCCGCGTGTCAAGCTGTGTGTCGCCTAATGTACCTAAATCTGTGTCAGGGCTGAGGAGGGCCAGGAGGGAGCAGAGAGCATTAACAGACACCACACAGGCGAAAGGGAACCATTTCTGAGTCGCGCCTGCAAAGCAGGCAGACAGACACCTGCCTCTGGTTTTGCGTCTTATTCCCTGAGACCCGTGGGACACGTTATTCAGCTCCAATTCCCCCCTCCGCCCACCCCCGGCCCGCCCCCGGCACAAAGCACTCAAGACGGAGCCTGGACATTCATCTTCTTCCCTTGTCTGCGAGGAGCAGGGGAGACTGGGAGCGAGCTGGGCTGATCCCTCCTGATCTGGAGAGCTGTCTGTACCTGGGGTCAGCCGTGAGATGGCTCAGTCCCGCCTGCCTAGCCAGCAAACCCGGCATCCACTCATGTGCTCCTGGGCTGGCCGGGAGTAAGGTCAAAACAGGGAAAGTTTCTGGAAAGCCAGCCCTGGCCCTCTTACAGGGCTTTGATAAGCATGCCCTTCAAACCCCTAGATGAGTTTATAAGAGTTCACGGCCCTGGAGCTGGCGCCAACCCCAATGCCAACTCCAAACCACATACGATGGAGGCCCGCTGGCCGGGACGCTCTGGGGCTGGCACTGTAGCCACATGATCCACTTTCTGCCCGGGACCAAAGCCCCAGTAATTAGCCAGGCTGTGGGGCTGTGTAGACTCTCCGCTCTGGGGAAAGTTCTAGCTGAGAGTGCAGGCGGGCGGCTCCCAGGCCCCTGGTCCCCTGGGCCAGCCTGGCCGACCACTCACTCACCAGGTAGATGCGGTAGGCGTCCACGCGGTGCAGGGGCCCCCAGCACAGGTCCGTGTCGTTGTACTTGGCTTCGGCCTCCACGCCGCAGGAGTCGTTGCCCACGGCACTGCTGATAGAGAGACAATGGCTCAGTGTGGGCCTCCCTGCCTGGCCGGGAGCAGAGAGAACCTGCCCTTACTGACCAGGGGCAACTGCCGCGCCCCCCACCCCCCGCCGCCCAGCTGCAGCTTCAGGTCCCATGCTCTGACCCTCCACAAGCCACGTTTTTCTGTCTCTGGGGGCAGGCACCTTATTCCTTATTCCTGCTGCACTGTTTCCCGGCAACTGGTGGGAATCCCAGTCACCTTCCCAGCGGGACAGGGATGGGGTCAGCGGTGAGCTGTGTGTCTCTGACGGCCAGGACACACAGCTGGCTGTGATGCGTGCAGAAAAGGGCCTCAGACATGACGGACTCGCTTGGTGTTGGGCTTCTACCCTGAGAAAACACTGCCCTGACTGCCCAAGGAAGCCCCTCTGGCTGCAGCTGGTGTGGGGGGCAGGGGGGACACTCACCAGGTCACCTGCATGAGAGAGAAGGGCACGGCGGCAGCATAGATGGCCAGGTCCCCATACAGGTAGGTGATGATGCAGAAATAGAACAGGTTGACCCCCACTGAAAGCAACAAAACCATCGGTCAGGGAGCCACAGGGAGAAGCCGGCCTGCTTTTTTGATGACTACAGCTCTACCTCATCCACGGCTTTCGTTCTCCAAGCAGAGTGGGAAAACAACCCCCAAGTCCTGTTTCTCATTCTGGCTACCGACACTGAGATGCTGGCGGGAGACACATCTGCTCGAGACTGTCGCCCGGTGGTGAGCGGGACAGGATCAGAGAGGTTCTGCATCCAGGGTGAGTGTGGGGCGTGGACTGGCCAGGGAGCACCTGGAGGCGTCTTCGCGCTCGGGACAGGCTGCCCGGAGGGGAGAAGGAGGGATGGCCTGAGTCAGGGCCTGAACCCCCGGGCTTGCCTGGACCAGGGCCTCCTTCGCAGCCGCACACAGGGCTCTAAGATGAAAGACTGAGGGATTGAAAAGAAGAGAGCAGGAAGTGGCCCAGCTCCGGAAGCTGAAATCAGGAGGGTGAAAAGCCCTTGATTTCCAAAGACCAAGTGCCTCATTCTGAATGTGGCCCATCACCAAGCACCCAAGAGGAAGAAGGGTGGCCTGGTGCGCTGGGGAGGGAGACAGCGGCAGGAGTGGGACGGCTCACTTCCCTCCTTACAGGAAGCGTCTGCAGGGGAGGATACTGACTTTGGAAGGCATGGGAGGCGGAAGCTCCCTCTGCAGAGGCAAACCTTGGTCCCCTCTCCCTCCAGGAGGGGCCTGGACTGGCAGGCGGGAACTCAGGCTCTGGTCTTCATCCCATCGGCCTCTTCTCCTGACCCTGGCAAGTCCCTGACCGTCTCTAATCCTGTGCAGTGAGAAGAATTCAGCCAGTGCTAAATTCCATACGTGATTCCAGCTACAAAGATCAGGGGTAAAAGTGCTGAAAAAAGCATCTGGGCCCTACAACCTCAGGGTCGTGGCCCCAGACGGCCAGTCTCAAACTCCCATTCAGACTGATTGCTTGTTTTTGGTTTCATTGGTCTTAAGCTGCTGGAGTCTCCGAGAACAGAAAGAAAAATGAAGTGACAGTTTCCTTCTAATCCAGGTGGCTCAGATGAGCCTCTAGGTCCCGGGGGAAAGCCAGGGGCATGTCCCTCCTGGGCTATTTGAGGTCGGCTCTGCTCCTAGGAGCCTAGGCGGAAAAGATTCGGAAGATACAGTTCTTGAAAGAACCCTGGATGTCCAAGCTCAGTGGCCCCTGGCGTAGCTGCCACTCACCCCCAGGCTCCGAGCCCAGCCCCCGCTCATCTTTTCGCTCTGAGCTGTCGCTCCTGCAGGGAGGCACTGCCCCTCCCCACTCCCATCCTTTTCTCCACCTGCCGTGGACTCATGTCCGCTGTTTATAAAACTGTCACTGGCCCTCCCTGATCAATAAATTTCATTACGAGACACAAAGTGGGAGGATCAATGAACTTCCTTGAGGACGGCAATGACCAGGACTGGCATTTCTCATTACAAGGACTGAGTCTGGGCCCCAAGGGAGACTTGTGTGGAGTGTGGCAGCCCTCCCAAAGGTGAAGGTGACGGTCTATGAATTAGGATAGAGCCGAGCAGTGGTTTCAACTGGGGGTGATTTTGTCCCCCACCCCCTACTGGGGACATTTGGCAAAGTCTGAGGACATTTTTGATGGTCACGACTGGGTAGTGCTACTGACGACTAGTGGGTAGAAGCCAGGGATGCTACTCAACACCCTACAACACACAGGGCAGGCCCTGCAATGAAGAAGGACCCAGCCACACAGCTATAGTGGTAAGCTTGAGAAACCCAGGAGCAGGTGGGAAGAGAGCTTCCTTTAAGTCTGAGCTGCTCTTGTACGAATGTGTTTATTTTCTATCAGATTTGGGTAAACTAGGAGTCTAGTCTGTGGGGGCACACACACACACACACACACACACACACACACACACACACAAAGACAAAACAAAACCAGGGCTTCCCTGGTGGCGCAGGGGTTAAGAATCCGCCTGCCAATGCAGGGGACACGGGTTCGAGCCCTGGTCCGGGAAGATCCCATGTGCCGCGGAGCAACTAAGCCCATGCACCACAACTACTGAGCCTGCGCTCTAGAGCCCGCGAGCCCCAGCTACTGAGCCTGCGCGCCTAGAGCCCGTGCTCCACAACAAGAGAAGCCACTGCAATGAGAAGCCCGCGCACTGCAACTAAGAGTAGCCCCCGCTCGCCACAACTAGAGAAAGCCTGCACGTAGCAATGAAAACCCAACACAGCCAAAAATAAATAAATTAAATAAATAAATTAAAAAACAAAACAAAACCACAAGTTCCTAGAATTCTTAAAGAAATCAGGGTGGGCTGTGAAACATGACAATTAGGAAGGACGTTTAAGAGGTATGTGTCCCCCCTCCAACGCGCATTTTGTTTCAGAAGCTTGCATTTGGGGGGAGGCTGTGCAACAGCCAGAAGGGAATGTCTGCTTCTCTGATCTGAGGCTAACGAGGCGGGGAGAGATAGAAACGGAACAAAGGAAAAGCACAGAAGTGCGCCAGGCACAACCAATCTGGCTTTTTTTAATAAGTATATTTATTTTTACTTATTTATTTTTGGCTGTGTTGGGTTTTTGTTGCTGCGCGCGGGCCTTCTCTAATTGCGGCAAGTGGGGGCCACTCTTCATTGTGGTGTGTGGGCCTCTCACTGTGGTGGCTTCTCTTGTTGCGGAGCACGGGCCCTAGGCACACGGGCTTCAGTGGTTGTGGCACATGGGCTCAGTAGTTGTGGCTCGTGGGCTCTAGGGCACAGGCTCAGTAGTTGTGGCGCACGGGCTTAGTTGCTCCGCGGCATGTGGGATCTTCCCAGACCAGGGCTCAAACCCGTGTCCCCTGCATTGGCAGGCAGATTCTTAACCACTGTGCCACGAGGGAAGCCCCCGATCTGGTTTTGATAAATTCTGAGAACCCTCAGTGAGGCCGGTCTGGTGGGGAGGACGGAGGGAGGCAGACCCCGAGGCAACCTCAATCAGGATCTTCTGTCACATCACACCATGGTGATAAACGGACCGCCGGATGTCCTAAGAAGCCATTGAGAAGATTCTAGATTCTAGTTTCCACAATCCCCCTCGGCTCTAACTTAGTGCGGCCACATTCAAGACAGGAAAGAACCAAGGGAGACGCTCCCCTCTGCAAACAGGGGCTTTGACGAAGGGGCACAAAATCTCCCAAGGTAACTGCAAGGTCAAGGATTTTTTGAGATGTGTCTGACTTTCTGTGAAGGATCGAACATTTTAAAAAACTAAACCCTAAATAGCTCATCTTCCAAAAGAACAAGATTTGGAACGGAGGTCTAAACTATTGTTGCCGGAACCAACAAGGCAGCACCCGAGCTGGGTGCTATCCTTCGATCCCACCAAGCCGCAGGTGGAGCACACCGAGAGGTCACAATTAGATGCGCAGAGTCCAGACAGCAGTCCTGAGCGTGGGCTCCTAGCACCCTCTGCTGGTCACCAGGAAGAGACACAGACACACAGACACACACACACACACAACCCTACTGTCAGGATTAGATGCGCAGCGTCCAGATAGCAGTCCTGAGCGTGGGCTCCTACCGCCCTCTGCTGGCCACCAGGAAGACACACACACACACAGACACGCAGGCAGGCAGACAGACACACACACACACACACACCCTGTCACAAGGTGGTTGCTCTGTCCTGTCCTAAACAGAACAGTCCAGAAGAAAAGAGAAGACAAGTCAGAAGTAATCGAGCAGGAGGCACAGAACCGCCCGCCGCCTCCACCGGCTTCCTTGGAAAGCTGCTCGCGACGCTCAAGCTGTGTGAGCTGTAGTCGTTAAGTAGCTGCTTCGCGAGCGGGGAGGGTCCAGGGAAAACCAGGAAGTCGTTCGCGCCTCTCAGCAAGGCGGCCTCCGGGTTGAGGATCTGCTCCCCCCCCTCGCCTGCCCCGTCCCTAGTTGAGGCGGAACCCCCGCTCCGGCTGCCCCGGCCCCCAAGAAGGCACCAGCTCTGCCCCTGCCCGTGCCCCACCTGGAGAAAGCACTCCCACCTTTACTGAAGAACATGGAGGCCATCTGCCCCATCTCCACCCGGTCTGTGATCTCAAAAAGGTTCGGAGATCCATGCCTCTCTGTGGAACCAAGAAGAAAGAGGAAGTGGTTTGTTTTTTTTTTTTTCTCTCACAAGGAAAAGCTCTTAGAAGGGGTGCTGAGTTCACTGACTTCTCCAGAATAATGACATCCCAACGGGTTCAAACTCCTGAGAAAAGTTTTCCTATTGCTTCCTGCTTGAAACATTTTGAAATATCTAGAGGGACTTCCCTGGCGGTCCAGTGGTTCGGACTCCACACTTGCACTGCAGGGGGTGTGGGTTTGATCCCTGGTTGGGGAACTAAGATCCTGCATGCCATGCAGCATGGCCATAAATAAATAGACTAAATTAAATAAGTAAATAAATACATAAATAAGTAAATAAATAAATCGTCTATAGAAAGGGATCCCAGGGGTGCTCACTGTGGGGTGAGAGGGAAGGCTGGGATGCTTCGCCCTGGCGCAACTGGAGTGTGTGCGTGTGTGAGTGTGTGGCTGAGTGTGTGTGTGTGAGCGTGTTAGTGTGGGTGTGCAAGCGTGTGTGGGTGTGTGCACGTGTGAGTGTGTGCGTGAGGGCACGTGCGCGTGTGGGAGTGTGTTAGAGACTGAGTGTGTGTGCGCACACGTGTGTGTGCGTGAGGGCGCGTGTGCGTGTGTGTGCACGTGTGTGGGCGTGTGCGTGAGGGCGCGTGTGCACGAGTGTGTGTGTGTGTGTGTGTGTGTGTTGGGATAGGAGGAAGGACAGAAGTCAGAGAACTGACATTTACTTGAGCTTCCAGGGGCTGAGGTGAAGGGACCTCCCCAAGCTGCACGCGCCAGTTAGCAGCAGAGACAGCAGGGCCGGTGCTCTGCTCTACTGTCCCATGGTGCCGTCCTCGGCTCAACCCTCAGGTGGTAAATGCCAGAGCGTCTCTGTAGGGAGTCCCCGGGGCCCTCTCCACGAGTAAGGGAAAGCCCGCGGACCAGAGGGAAGCACGGGCCAGCCCAGAACCCCAGGACTTACGCACAGACAGGATGGGCCGCTTCTCTGCCCGCGCGTCGTTGTCCTGGGTGAGAACATCACTGTCGGAGGCCGTGGAGGAGCCATCGTCTTCCTCCTCCTGGGGAGGGGGGGGCACAGGGCGGATGAGAACAAACAAGGAAACAGAGGGCACACAGCTCTACAGCAACCCCCGGGGCGGCCAATGGACAGCCTGCTTCCTTTGTGATTTCCTTCTAGAAGGTATCTGATTAGGAAGCTTTCAACACTTCCCTGCTGTCACATTAGAGGGTCAGACACACCGGGAGGGAGAAGCTGCGGCACAGTTCCTGGGTACAAAGGTTCAGAATGACTGAGCCAGCTCAAGGCCGGGGTAGGAGGGACCAACAAGGGGATGTTAAAAGAGCAGAGACTGCGTTTGTTCCGTAAGCTGACATGGCTGTGAACTTCAGCTCTGGGCTGGGGTCCTGGAGCAGCGCTGTGGTCAGGAGCCCTCCAGGCGTCGGGAGGGAGAGGACTGGCTGCTGAGGGCCACCTCTTTGCACACGACTGCCTGGGGGCACTGCCTGGAGCCAAGAGCAGCACACACACCTGATGGGTTTCCATTCTCTTCCAGCGGAGCTGAGCGTTGGCTGCCGCCATGGCCTCCACCACAAAGGTAGTTGTCACAAAACTGCAAGGGAAGGCCACGTGTTAACTGCGAAAGGCAGGGAGGAGTTTGGAGAAGGTACAAAATAAAAGGAAAAGCCATTTAAGACCTGACCCGACCAGTAAGCCCAAAGCTTACTCTCCTGAGGAAGGGATGGCAACTTCTGAGATGGGTCTGACCTGATAAAAAAGCATGTGTGAATACGTGGTGCCTCTTGTGCTCTTCCTGACGTCTGTCTATATTTAGAATGTATTTCCAGTGCACTGGAGAGAAGGGTGTGAAGTAAGCTGATGGGAAGGAGGGAGAATGAGCCTGGGGGAGAGGTGCTCCCTTGCCCGGGGGGCAAGGTGGTACTGCTCCCCAGAAGGGGCCTGTCGGGGGGCAGAGGTGGGAGAGATGGGAGGATGGACACCAGGTAATGCTCTAAGCTGGGAAGAGGAGACTGGTCCACAAGGGGGCCCTCCCAGAGCTTCTGGGAGGGGCAGCAGGCAGCTCTCACCTCTCCTTGCTAGCCAAGCGGTCAACCCCCAGTTACACACACTAATGGACGGAGCACAGGTGTGGATATAATTGAAAAGGGGGACTTCCCTGGTGGCGCAGTGGTTAAGAATCTGCCTGCCAATGCAGGGATCACGGGTTCAAGCCCTGGTCGGGGAAGATCCCACATGCCGCGAAGCAGCTAAACCCGTGCACCACAACTACAGAGCCCGCGAGCTACAACTACTGAGCCCACGCTCCTAGAGCCCGTGCTCCACAAAAAGAGAAGCCACCGCTATGAGAAGCCCATGCACCACAACGAAGAGTAGCCCCTGCCCACCGCAACTAGATAAAGCCCGTGCGCAGCAACGAAGACCCAATGCAGCCAAAAATAAAATAAATTAATTAAAAAAATAATAATAATAATTGAAAAGGACACTTGGCTCTGGAATCATCCCCTCCTTCTTTTTTGGGGGGGTGCCTTTACTTTCCTAATAATCTGGTTAGTATTAAAGTAACTGTTACTTCAATATTAATTATTAAAATAAACTACAATATATTAATGCATAATGTATTTTTTAAAATATTAATTAATTTATTTGGTTGCGCTGGGTCTTCGTTGCAGCAGGTGGGCTCCTTAGTTGCAGCTCGTGGGCTCCTTAGTTGTGGCAGGCGAACTCTTAGTTGCGGCATGCATGTGGGATCTAGTCCCCTGACCAGGGATCAAACCCGGGTCCCCTGCACTGTGAGTGCGGAGTCTTAACCACTGCGCCGCCAGGGAAGTCCCGATAAACAACGTGTCACTAAGTTAAAATATACCAATAAATTAATATATTTAATAAATTAAAACGTATTAATAAATTAAAGTATGTTCACATTTTAATTTCCTAATAATCCAGTCCGAAAAGGGAAATTGGGAGGTGGCACCAGACGTTTGCTGAGAAGTCAGACTAGAGTGAAAAATCGTCTTTACTTAAGGAAATGGGAGAGACATGGATGACAGCGGGAGGGCTCTCCCTAGCAGCCGGTAGTACGGGGGAGGGCCGCCTTCCTGCTGATAAAGCCTGAGGAATGACTCTGTCCTTGCTGAAAAGACCCGGGGTGGGACATGCATCTGTTTCTTGAAGCCACCCGGCAGAGCCTGACGCCAGACTCGACCCCAAGCCCCTGCCTCGGGCGCTGTCACCTGCTGCAGGCTGGCTGCCTGGTCCAGGAGTCAGGGGGCTGGGGGTCGGGGGGAACGACACAGAGGTCAACCCACACCCACTCCATCTCGGTACGGGTGTGGCAGCCGTCTCTGAAACTCCCACTCCGGCCACCGCAGCACCTCCTAGAACGGTTTCTCACCACCTTGACTAAGTGACCGTTTTAAGGGCTTTAGATTTCCCCTTCTTTTGGGAAGTAAAACTGAAATCAATCATAAGGTGTAAAGAGGCTTCTCCAGGCTGCACAAAGCCATGTCTGAACGCAGATGGGTTGAACGAGGTTGGGGCGTGGCGGCCCCTAGCTGGGGGCCCCCAATAATCACTTCCCATTCAGGTGGCTGCCTGCGCTGAAGGTCCTTTGAAGGGGACTGCAGGGTCACAGAAGGACAAGGACTTCTGGGGCTGTCGGTCACCAGGGCTCGCAGTACGTAATGAGCCAACAGTCCCTCGAGGCTGGCCACAAAACCCCCCAGAAGAAAACGTGGGAAGAAACTGAAAAACACGGGTTTTCCTATCCTGTGCAGCCTCCTCTAGGTCTTAACTCACTTCAGCTACTGAACTGTTTCATTCCTCCACTAGTGCCCCCTCCTTTGTCCTTCCAGTCTGCTGCCCTCCATGGCCATGGACCACCTGCTTCAAACCGCGGCCACCCCAGGCTCCTGAGCCCCTCACCTCGCTGTACGTTTCCCCTTATCACTCATCACCTAACTGAACTCTACACTTGTTACCTTCACTACTAATTGTCCACTGAGAAAGGGTACAACAGCGGAGGCAAAGCAGCTGGGTAAGAAACACACGAGCACCACGGTGAGACACCCCACGGCCTAACTGGAGGTCTTCACTTCTCAGTGACTGGGGGTGGACAACCGCTCCATCAGAGCGAGCCCCTGAGACCTTTGGGCCTCCTCTCCTGGCTCCGGGCACCTGTTAGGATTCCCTCACCACAGAAGTCTTCCCCCACACTGACGGAGAGAGCTCGGGCTTCCTGGGCAGACTCCCCCAGCTCTGCCCCCAGCTCCCCGGGGGTGGCCTCTTACCTCATGAAGCCCAGGAACACCAACAGGACCAGGCTGACGAGCCACCCAGCCGCGGCAAAGGCCTTGGGCATGGTGAGCGCGCCGGTGCCCACGATGAGGTTAAACATATACACCAGTCCGACCTGGAAGCGAGAGAGGTGGCATTCGAGCCCAGAAATTAACGAACCTCACCCCCAAACGGCTCCCAAGGGTGACCCTGGGCAACGACAAAACCGTGGAGGCCGGGAGGCCAGGCCTTAGGCAGGTGAGCAGGTAAGTAGGGTGGGTTCCACCCAGGTTCCAGGGGGGTGGGATCTGCAGCCGGCTGCTGGGAGCCGAACGTGAACACCTGGAAGACTGAAGCCCCGGCTTCCATCAGACTTTTCAAAATGTCTCTGGCGTTGGGTTTGATTCTCCACTTTGGCTGTCATCAGCCCCATCCCCTCATCAGGGCGTATTATTCAGAGCCGTGTCTCAGATGATAGCTCTGGGCTCAACCGGACTGCAGGTTTCCTGAGGATGGGCCATCACCTCTGGGGTACCCGGCACACGGATCAACCCATAGCACTGACCCCCCCAAAAATTCCCACTTTTCCAAGGCCACTGAGCACGCGGCCTGATCCTCCTCTCCGCCCGTTCTTGCCAATGCCCTCCGGGACGTCGCCGTACATGCTGCTTCCCTTTTCCTGTCCTCTGCCCCGTACTAACTTCAGGGGTTAAAAGAAAAAAAGATCATTCACGTGCCATAAAATTCACCCTTTTCAAGTACACAGCCTTGCAGTATTTTCACAAGTTCTGCAACCAGCATCACCATCTAATTCCATTTCATTACCCCACGGAGAAACCCCCTACTCAGCGGCAGCCCCTCCCCCTCTCCCCTGGCAACCAACCTCCCAGCGGAATTGCTGGGTCACTGACTTCAGGTTTTAAACTTAACTCACACCAACTTGACTCTAGCTCAGCTAATTACAATTATTCCCTTCTCGGGCCCTCCTCGATCATGAAATCCCTTTCGCTGACCTGAAGCCCCTGCCGCCTACAACCCTGTGCACTCCCACTGACCCGCCCTTGTCCTCATCATGATGTCCAGTCCCCCCAAACCCTCCCTACCCAGGCCACCACCTCCACGGTGGCCTCACTGACAATCGGCTGGTTGCTCAAAGCCCACACTGCCCCGAGCTCCCCACACCTTCCCCGTTCTAACCTCTCCGGCCCCCAGCCTCAGAGACGACCTGGCACCCACCTCCTCGACTCCCTAATAGGAAGCCGCTAAAGGCTCCTGGAATTTTTGAAAAATTCTAACTGTGAGTCCCCCTAACAGACGGTCTCTGCAGCTGCGGTCCAGCAGCAACAGATTCTCTTCACTCCTCCGTGTGGACTTGCGAGTATTTCCCACGCATGTAAAGGCTCCAAACCTCCGTCTCCAAGTCCCAGACCCACAGCTCCCATCTCCCCCAGGTGAAGGCTGCAACTCCAACGCTACGGAGGGGACGGAGACCGTCTGACATGCGCTCCCCAAGCCTCGCTCCTTCCGAGCTCAGAAGTCAGTGTCGGCCTCCCCTCTGCCCCCCTCCCCATGTCTGGGGGAGCACGGCTGCTTCCTCTTCCCTGACAGGCTCAGCCCTGCATCTGAGCTGGGCTCAGCTCTCTCTGGAATCCTCTCCTCCTCCTAGCTCTCTCCCCCTCTGACTGCGAACGCTCTCGACGCCTTTAAAATGTTGCCCTCTCACTTTCCCTCAGCCCAACTCCTTGAAGGAGCAACCTATATCCTCCGCCTTCATTTCCAACTTCCTCTAGTTTGTGGTTTCCATCCCCAGAACTCTTTTGAAACTGCATTCTTAAAAATCACCAATGACCTCCTATTTGCCAAATCCGGCGGCTTTCTTAGACCTAATCTTTCTTGCACTTCTGAGGTCAGTGGTCTCTCTTTCTCTCTGCGTTTCTTTTCCTCAGCAACATCATTCAATCCCAAGGCTTTAACCATCATGGCGGACGGTATTTCTCTTAGTGCAAGGCTTTCTGCAGACCTCAAATCCAACTGCCTGCTGGTCACCTCCACGTGGACACCCCAGCGTGGCCTCAGCTCCCCGCTTCCCCTCCATATCCCAGGGCTAGTGATTTTATTTCTGAAGAGTCTTTTGTGGGTGCCTCTGGCTCCTATTCCATTTACAGTTCAAGTGAACCATTTCTGGCCTGGCCTATGACAGTAGGTTCCTAACAGGTCTCCCTCTACTCCACTAAACTGGCTAACTTACAGTTTGCTTTACCACTTGTTTCTGGTCATGAGAAGACAAACACCAGAAATACCTATCCATCGCTCGTTTTCACCTCCCCTTTCTGAGAAATACGCACTTTTCTGTATTTAAATTTTTTTCCAAGATAACCACGTGCTGCATTCTTAATCAGAAACACACAAATTAGGGCCCATTCTCAGACCAGCCTCAGTCAGATCTAAAAAACAAGACGAAACAGAGATAGGGAGCAACAGCTACCATTCTGGGGCCCTTGACAGGGAGGGACAGGATTCCGGGCAGGTGCCGACTGGCCATGTGAGTGCTGGACAAACGGGAGGGCGTCCTGTAGAGAGGGAACAGCTCTGTCCAGAACCCACATACACTTGACACAGGGCACCAACCCCTTGTGCCTCCCACCCAGCCCCTCAACTCCCACCCACCACGAGGGGCCCATTCAAACGCTTGTCCCACCATAAAGCCCTTCCCAGTCTCCCGAACCCATTTTGCTCCCCCTCTCAAAGCCCTGGAGCAAAAACACTTCTTACGCCATAGTTTGGGTATTTTTTTTTTTTTCCTAGTTTGGGTTTTTGATGTTGATGTGTTTATCTTTTCCCCACTATTAAATCTGAGGCTCGCTGCGGTCACAGCCTGCAACTCACTTCTCTCTACATTTCTCGGGGCGCCTGGCACACGGCCTCAAGATGGGGGTCCTCAACGGCTCTGGTTCAGGTCCTCTCTGCCGTGAACCTGACAGTCTTCGGCCCCTTTTAAACGTCACGGTCTCACTCTGATCCCCCAGGAGATCCCAGAAGGATTAAGACAAGTTTGAATCGTCTTCCTCTAGCTCCTGACTGGATCACAAAACCATGATGTGGTTGCCCTGCCGGGAGTCTTGGCCCAGGGTGATGTTATGAGAATAAATGTTGAGGGTGACAGCTGGCCTTCTGAATTGACTTTTCACAAATGGGAACGTCTACAAACTAACTTTGCCTTTTGTTGGGTTTAACTTCGATCACTGGCACTCTGAGGCGAGTACATCCAGGCGTGGGCTCGTTTGCTTACTGCACAGCTACCGAGAGCCTTCCACGGTCCTGGCCCTGTGCTCAGAGCCCAGGGAATCACAGTGAGCAAGACGGACAGGAGGACACAGACAAGAAGACAAACGATGATTACCGCCTCGGAGAAGCACTCTGAAGGAAAGAAGGGGCTCCGTGACAAAGAACAGTGGGTCAGCACTTCAAGCAGAGGACGGCCTCGTGGTGACATTCAAGCCGGGACCTGAGGGCCGAGCAGGAGCCACCCAGGCAAAGGGCCAGGGAAGACACTGGCAGGTAGGAAGGCCTAAGGTGGGAAAGGGGGAGGGATTTCCCAGGAACTCTGAGGCCAGCGTGGCTGCAGGCGGACTCCCGGGCCCTGGCGCACAGAACAGGGAGTTCGACGTCACAGGCAGGGTTGTAAGCAGGACGCTAAGAGGCCAGGCCCTGGTCGATGACCTAACGTCTGATCTCCCGGCAGCTTTGTTCTCTGCATATCGCTTTTATAAGCTGTAACACTTTGAAGGGCAGAACCTTACTTCTTTATGGAAAACAGCCCTGGTGATGGGCTCGTGACAGAATTTAAGAGAAAGCAAAGAGGCCTAAGAAAGTGATGGTTCTCAGCCAAAAGTTTTATGGGGATGGGACTTCCTTGGCGGTCCAGTGGTTAGGACTCTGCGCTTTCACTGCAGGGGGCATGGGTTCGATCCCCGGTCAGGGAACTAAGATCCCGCAAGCCGCGGGGCGCGGCCAAAAAAAAAAAAGTTTTATGGGGAAATTAAGTAGTACAAGAAGCATTTGTGAATTCAGGGATGCCTGAAAGTCTTGGGATGTGAAAGTCACGGGTCTACTGTCAAGCAGTGTTTCTCAGCCTGAGCGCTGCTGACATATGGGGCCAGCTCACTCTGTACTGTGGGCCTGTTCTGTGGATTATAGGATGTTTAGCAGCATCCCTGGCCTGTACCCACTAGATTCCAGTACCCCCCCACCTTGCCCTTGTGTTGTGATGGTCACACCGTCTCCAGACATTGCCAAATGTCCCCTGGGAGGCAAGACTGCCACCAGCTGAGAACCACGGCTGATGAAGATGCAGTGAAATAAACACACTCCCAGTGGAAACTTCAAATAAACCTCAGTGAAAAAGACCCTTTACGAACGTGACAAGGAAGTTAATTAGGGATCAACTACTGGAAGTTAGGAGCAGAAATGAGTCATCACATTTGTCTTGGGTTGTTGCTATGTTTTAGTTCTGAGGCAAGCACTCCGGGCCTGGTGGTGCTGCAGGGAATCCCATAGGGAAACATACGGCTTCTCCACCTTCCTGGCCGGAGTTAAACCCTCCTTACTTTCAGTAACGGGGATCAGTAGGGACCAATACCAAGGAGAAGAGCACGACGCAGGAAGCAGACCTGAGCTGAGCCACAGGCCGGGTGGAAGGCAGTTGTAACACAGAAGGAAACGGGGGAGTGAACTGCTCTTCTGTTTGTTAGGGGACAGTTCTGTGGGGACAGCCTGCAGGGAGGCATGACCAAAAGTGGTGAAATAGAACCCTGCTGTGGTCTCAACAAAGAAGGCTATGCAAACCGAGCTTCCTCCTGTTCTGGACTCTTCCCCTGTGGCTGAAGTGCAGAAGACACAGTCCCTGTCCCTTGGGGTGGCTGACCCGCTCCCCTGTGCTCGAGGGGGTTCAGTGCAGCGTTCCCACGGCCTCACCCACAGGTGTGCATGAGGCAGGGGTCACGGGCACCTTTCAACGGCTTCCCCAACGACAGCTGTCAAAGGAAACAGAAGGTGGCAGAGATGTGGAAGCAACAACTAGGGTTTCAGGCCGGGAGACAAGCCCTCTTTCCTTCGAAAGCACCGGCATCGATCTTCCGCGAGACTGGCCGGCGGAAGGCAGCCTCGGCAGTTATCCTTATGTAGCCAGTGACCCCCTTCTTCCTCTATTTTGATCACACGACCCCTTCAGTCCCGAGCCACTCGTGGTCCCCATAAATGGGGAAACAGACATGCCTGTTCTGAGATCACTTATGGGGGGGATGCATAGGCCTAAACCATGCTCCTGCGTCCGGCACTATCCTTGAGAGAGTTTGTCATCCGAGTCCCCTGCGAGGCTCGTCTGCCCATTACACACACACAGTTTATGCAGAAGAATGCGGGCTAAGGCAAACACCCCTGACACCCAGGAGGGGCAAGAACCCCCAACAGGGCACCGCAGAGGTAGGGAGAGGCTTGGTGCTGGGAATGACCGGGTTATGGGCTGATGCACCGCTCAGGGTCATGGTCTCCCAAGGCAGGCAGAGCAGGTTCCGCCCACATCGTGCTGAGCAGCATGTGCGGTAAAGTCCATTCTGCAGCCTCTCTGGGCTCAGTGGGTGGTGCACCTCACACCCTTCTCCTGGTCTCACAGGGGATCAAGAACCATTCTTGCAGGACGGCAGAGTTAAGGAAACCTCAGGCAAAAGGTGTCTAATCCTGGTTAGTGCCACCTCATTCTCAGCACCATCCACCTCCCCCCGCCTCTCTCTTCACCGGCAGGATAAGAGGATACGAGCAGGTGTTTACGGCCAGTGCCCAGAGTCGGCCCTTGAACACATGCCTCAGACAAAACCAAACACATAGGAAATGGAGGAAAAAATTTTAAAAAGCAGAACCCGCTGAGACTTTTAGGTCTCACTGCCCCATTTCCTGTGGGCACATGATGATATGTGAAATTACTGAACAGCTGGAGGCACGAGAAAAGTGGGCACATCAAAGGTTTTCCTTCCCAACACTTAGCTACAGAAATAACTCATTTCCTTGCCTCTCAGCTTACAGATGTTGTAAGATGACGCAGGAACCATGGTGACTTTCATGGACAGTGTGGACATGTCATTGCTGATACCAAGAGGAGGCTGTGAGCTGTTATGCAATTCCACTAATGAGAGGGGCATGACCTGATTCATTCCAAGGTTCAAGAAAGACTTCCCAGACTTCCCTGGTGGTGCAGTAGTTAAGAATCCACCTGCTAATGCAGGGGACACGGGTTCGAGCCCTGGTCCGGGAGGATCCCACATGCCGCGGATCAACTAAGCCCGCGCACCACAACTACTGAGCCTGCGCTCTAGAGCCCTCAAGCCACAACTACTCAAGCCCACGCACCTCGAGCCCGTGCTCTGCAACAAGAGAAGCCACCGCAATGAGAAGCCCGTGCACCGCAACGAAGAGTAGCCCCCGCTCGCCGCAACTAGAGAAAGCCTGCGCACAGCAACGAAGACCCAACACAGCCAAAAATAAATACATTTATTTTAAAAAAATGAAAGACTTCCCTGATAAATTATTCAGGTGAAGAAGGCTCCCTTGGAGCCACACACAAATGGCACAGACCCAGCAGGAGGACCCTAGTGTGAGGGTTTTTGCCAGATGTTCTCAGAGGTGCTTCCTTATGCATCACACCACAGCTCTAGAGTCTATGAAGCTGGCAGAAACAGAGCATGGATCCCCAGGCAGGTGCAGAGCAGGGCAGCTGTTGAAGGTTAGGTACTTTCTAGAAAGAGGCCTCTTGCTACTTAAGGCAGTGCTGCCTTTCTCTGGGATACTTGGCAGCAACATGAATCAATCATTTGATTATTCCAGTCCTCCAGCTACTCATCCAAGCAAGGATTCCGTGATGTAACCATGACCAATCTTATATTACACAAAGAAGATAAACTGAGTGTACGTGAGAGGGGTGGGGGTAAAGCAGACCCAAGACAGTGAGAAATCAATCACTCTAGTTGTCCTAGTTACAGACTCCACCCAACGGCAATTGAAGGTCTCTGTATGCTTTCTCCGCCTCTTACGCCATCCAAGACTATAAAAGTTGTGCAACTTAAAATTCAGCTGAGAACCGAAGTGGTTTCAAACTGCTGAGGGGAGCAGAACCCAGAGTCAACAGCCTACAGCCTTCATCCACCTGAACTGGCCTCAGTTTGCAAGTGCTAGCAGCCCTGAGACAAAAATAACGAGTGAGCAAGTCCGGTTTCCTTTCTTGACCACTCTCTGATCAACATGTGAAGAGTGAACAAACCTGACTCTCATCATACATTCACCGTGGCTGCTGCTGAATGGGATTCCCAGACCGCGGCTATGAAAGCCGCTGGACTCACAAGTACAGTCCACAGGAAGCAGTGTGCTTCTCCAGAAGCCAAGGGCACTGATGTGGGCAAAACAGCTCCAAAAGTAAAACTCACATAGGGAGAATAGAGCTCCCCGGGCTCTGTGATTTCACCCGCCATTTCCAAAAGCGAGGAAGGGTCCGTTGGCTGCCAAGGTTCCTTCCGTGCAGGGGCGGCGGCGGCCGCGGCTCCCTAGGAAAAAAAGAGACTTCAGCTTTCTGATGGACCTAGACGCGGGCGGAGGGATGTCTACAGAGCCACCCCCTCCCTGTCCTTTAATCACAGCCACTTATGGCCTTATCTGTCAAAAGAGAGCCCGGAGGGAAGGACCTCCCTGAAGCCAAGCAACTGTCTGCCTCCTCCGCCTAGAGCAAGGGGCTGGGGGCTTTCCTAGGTCGCCCCCCAACCCAACTCCTTGCCCCAGAGCCTCTCCTTTTTAACGGGGCCTCCACGTCTCCCAATCTGCCTTAGGGCTCTCCAGCCTCCCCCTCTTCCCAAGAGGCCCTCTCCGAGCCTCTCCCCCATTTCTTCCTCCCTCCTGGAGGAGCCCCGAGTCTGGCACGACCCCATTCCATCCCACCCTCCTGCTCCGACACCTGCAGCGAAGCTTGCTCCCGCTGCCGCGGCCGCTGTCTCCGACCCGGGGTTGTTGCCGGCGACAGCTGTCCCGCACCAGCGCCGGCAGCACGCATGCGCCCGCGCCGGGAGCCCACCTTTTTTGTGCGCGCCTCGGGCGGGGCGCACGGCGCTGATTGGGCGCCTCGCGGAGGCGGGACCGGGATTAGGCCCCGGCGGCTGCCGTCTGCGTGGCGGAAGTGGGCGGGGTTCGCTCCCACGCGCATGCGGGAGGGGCGGCCGCCTGCCAGGTGGGAAAGCGGGGTAAGTTGGAAGGGGTGGATCACACCTGCTGGGTACACGTTCGTCGGCGAGGAGTGGGTGTGAACTTGGCCGTCGCGGGACCCCAGTGGTTGTGGGGGTTCGAGAAGAGTAGCCTGTAACTCATCACAAAGAGGAGGGGATTGAGGCCTTAAGCCTGCCTCACCCAAGAGTGGCCAGGGAGGCCCCGATGGCTTGGGGGGCAGGAAGAGGGAGGACCCGAGCCCGGGGGGTGGTCGCTGGGAAAAGGGGTTGGAAGTAGGTTTAAGACAGGGCTGAGAAGTAACCGTGGGGCGGAGTCTCAGAACTGGGGCGAGTGATGGGAGTTTCGGTGATGAGTCTTGGTGCTTGAGTGTGGGGCATCGAGCTTCCGGGTGATGGGGCTGAAGGGACTGGCAGAAAAAGCAGCCCATATTTGGCCCCTTGAGATGCGAGCCCAGGATTGTTTAATCATCTTTCACCAGCCGTGTTCCCTTTCTTGCAAAGGGTTTAAAGTCCGTGTTCTCTGAAGTGAAGAAGGACAGGGGCTCTTCTGACAGCTTAGTCCCCAGGAGGCATTTAGTGAACTGAGAGCCGGGGCTCCCACCCTAAGTGGGAGGAAACTCAGGTGCTGAAATCTTTGCCCTCCCACCCGCAGGCTGCTACCATGAGGTTAAATCAGAACATCTTGCTGCTGGGAAAGAAGGTGGTGCTGGTACCCTACACCCCAGAGCATGTGCCTAGGTAACCATTCCCCTGACATGGGGTGCAAGCCAGCTCTCCAAGGTGCAGTGAGGAGGGTGAGCCTGACTTAACCCCAATCTCAGAGGCTGTTTTCTCTGAGAAGGAGAAACATTGGTGTGAGAAGTAATTGCATACGGGAAAAAGTGAAAACTGAAACAGAGGGCTATGACCTCCCTGGAAGAAGTCATCCATCCCCCTGTTTCTCCCTCCCAACCCCTCAGCTTCCTTTCTGGCCTTTCAGCCAGGAATTCTTTTATGTAAACTGCATGTATGCAAGAAAAAAAAGATACTGTCTTCTAATTATAAATGAGTGCCATTCCTCTGGTGCCAGTAAATAGGCTCAGTTCTTGGAAACTAAATGTTAGCTTGTCATAAAACTGAGCAGGTGGGTCGTCGTGATGTCTACTGCTTGGAAAGGGCAGGACCGAGTCGCAAGGTGGGACTGTCGTGGGCCAGGTGACGAATGTCTGGTAGACAGGGATACTGGTGCTGTAGGCGTGTGTTCTCTACTTGTGGTCTTCCGTTTGGGGGTTCCTGGTGCCTGGCCTTTGTGGAGATCTGTCCAGCCTTCTTTGCTGAGTTTGGCTTGCCAGGACCTCCCCTGGGGAATTTGAGGAATGTTCAGCTCCAGGCTGCTCCCCCGCACTGACCCCTGAGATAGGAGAGGAGGCTGGATGGATAGAACTGCCTCCTGCGGTTCTCTTTAGGACTAGCCTGCCTCTAGTTCTTGGGCCTGTGGCCTTCTACCATAGGAGCCATTATAACTCTTTCTTCTAGCCCTCTGTGAGCCCTGGGGGGGGGGGGGTTCTCCCCTCAGCCATCCATTTCTTCATCTCATAAAGCGTCAGACTTAGGCTTCTCAATTTGTCCTGCCTGCCAAAGGCCGACCCTCCGTCCCCGCAGGTACCACGAGTGGATGAAATCAGAGGAGCTGCGGCGTTTGACAGCCTCCGAGCCGCTGACCCTGGAGCAGGAGTATGTGATGCAGCGCAGCTGGCAGGAAGATGCAGACAGTGAGAAGTGGAGGCCCCGGGCTGTGCCGGTCATGGGAGGGCTGATTCCAGAGGCCTTACCGGGTTCCCACCCTTTACTGTTCCCAGCTGTAGCCCCGCTGGAGCCACAGAAAGTTTGCAAAAAATACTTCGTGAAAAGCTTGGGAGGTGCCTGAATCCCTCAGACTGCGACGCCCCCTGAAGCAAGTCCCTGTGGCTGACGCTTCCGTCCTCTTCCCCACTCCCTGCACCAGGCGTGAAGGGATTTAGAGAAAGGAAAGCATTTGGGGCTCTGGCTGTAAATCGAGGCCCTGCCCCTTGTGCCCCTTGCCGCAAGCCCCGTGTGGTTCGTGCTCTGAGAATACAGTTGCTGTTTGCAGAAGGCCATCGTCTCCTGCATGAGGCCGATTTAGGCTTTGTAATCAGCTGAAGGAAGTGCTGGCTCCCTTTTCCTGCCCGACTCAGAGACAGTGGTAGTTCTCTGCAGTTCTCTGGCTCGGGTAGGAAGACAGGCCTCCCTGCACTCCTTTGGGGAGTGTAGGTGATAATCCCGTCACCTCCTTCCTCAGAGTGTACCTTCATCGTGCTGGATGCAGAGAAGTGGCAGGCCCAGCTAGGCACCAGCGAAGAAAGCTGCATGGCGGGAGATGTGAACCTCTTCCTCACGGATCTAGGGGACCCCACCTTGGGGGAGATTGAGGTCATGATTGCAGGTTTGTTCCACCGGGCCCTGCCCTCCATCCCTCTGGTCCTCAGATCCGCTGAACCTGAAGACACCGAGGCTGTGTAGGGCACTCAGAGAGCTCCATGGACAGCTCTGGCCTTGGTGAGCCTAGCACCTGGCTGGGCATACTGTCACTTGGCACCCTGTTAGCCTTGTGGCTCACCCCTGGTAGTTCATTTTATTCCCATCTCATGCTTAGGTGTGAACTTAACCTTTGGTTTTAGGGTCTTCAAACTGCAGTCTGCCCCATCCTTGGGGTGGACTGGGGACCCTCCCAAAATAAACGATCTTCCCTGGAGCATCTCCCCATGCCGTGGGAGGAGCCCCTCCAGTTTCTGTGTCCATCAGGGTCCTCAGCCTCTTTCTAAGGGGCCGTGTGACTGTCCTCGTGGGGCAGCACACTGAGCCGAAGGGGTCAGTTTTGGGGTCAGGTTGCTGGGTGCCTCTAAGCTGTGCGACCCCGGGCGAGTCACTTAACTTCTCTGGGCCTCTGTCTCCTCCTCTGCCGAATGGTGCCCGTAGCTGCGAACTTCCTAGGGCTGCGAGGATGACGTGAGCCGGGCACGCACTGTCAGTGACTGTTGTCATTCCTCCTAGAGCCCAGCTGCAGGGGCCAGGGCTTGGGCACCGAGGCCGTCCTCATGATGATGTCTTATGGTAAGGAAGGCCGAGCAGGCTATGTTGGGGAGAAGTGGCCAGGCCCCAGGAAAAGGCGAGGGCATGTTGGGAGGGAGCCTTCGGGCCTGAGGGTGGAAGCCAGTGACAGGCGTTTCCATCGCAGGCTGGGACAGGAGGGGCCGAGGGTGCTGGGGAGGTGGGGGAGGGCTTCATCCTGCAGCTCATCCCTCTCTAATCTCTTCTGGGAGGAGTGACCAAGCTAGGTCTGACCAAGTTTGAGGCTAAAATTGGGCAAGGAAATGAACCGAGCATCCGGATGTTCCGAAAGCTTCACTTTGAGCAGGTGAGGATGGTGCCAGCGCGAGGGTGAGGCCTGGGTCTGGGCGGGCCCAGTGGTGCTAGGACTTGGGCCTGTAACTTAGTTGGCCCTGCTCTGTCTGGATCACGTAGGTGGCTGTGAGCAGTGTCTTCCAGGAGGTGACGCTCAGACTGACGATGAGTGAGCCGGAGCGGCAGTGGCTTCTCGAGCAGACCAGCCACGTGGAAGAGAAGCCCTACAGAGCTGGGGCGTCGGAGCCCTGCTGACAGCCGGCCTTGTGGACCAGCCACCCTGTGTGGATAGGGGTGTGAGACCAGAGCCCTGCAGCAGGCACACAGAGGGGGCCTATGGGGCAGACTGCTCTGGCCTTGCTGCAGCCTGGGACTCTCCTCTTGGGGCCCTTCAGACTCCGGGCTGGACTTGCCTTGGCCTCCCTCTGGCTGGCCTTGTGGCTGAGCCACTCCAGGGCCAGCCCCTCCTCCTGGCCAAAGCTGGGCTCAGACTCTTGGAATCTGGAGTGGACGGCATGAATCCACGGGAAGAAGCAGGGTGGAGGTGGAGACGAGGGGGCGCCTGGTGAATGGGCAGGACCTCTCTTTCCCCCGGAGGGCCAGAGGGGCCACCGAGGCTCTGGCCGGGAGTAAAGCGCACTGCACGCAGCTTGCCCTGTTCTCTCACTGGGCCCGTGTGGAGGTGAGCTGCCAGGAGGGCCAGCCTGCGGCATCTGGTCCGGCGTCGTAGGGACAGGGGAGGGGTAGCTCGGTCCTCTGTCATCCAGCAGAAGCAGGTGGGTATGACCCCGGGAGGTCTGGAAATAAATGAGCTCGGCCTTGAAGGACAGACAGGTGGCTTGGAAAGTGGGCGAGTGTCCTTGCTCCTTCCTCTTTGGAGCCAGTTTTGAGGGTGGAGTAGGTTAGTTTCGGATGCAGCTGCCTGTGGCTGGAGTACCCCCCCTGCCGAGGAAGCTCCGGGCCTCCTCAGTTGCAGGGTGTCCTCCCGAGGGCACCTGCGTCCTCGCTCTCCGGGCCTCTGCCTCTGGGAGCAGCTGCACCTGCGAAGGCCACTAGGGGGTGCCAGAGGCACAGGTTCGGATGATTACGCTGCTTGGCAACCGGGGCTTAACAGGCAGAGCCGGGCCGGGGCTCCCCACCTCACAGCGAGGGGGACACCCTTTGACTTCTAACCCCATCTCGTGCCCTGTCGTAATCAGGGTTGGCCGTCAAGAAAAGTCAGGCGTGTTTCAAAACACAATTGGACAAGAGACTCTTGAGGGCACCTAGGACATTTTCAAGGGGGGGAAGTGGTCCCTGGCAAGTTGAGGCACTCGCCCAAGGCCCCAGAGCTTTTGATGGCAGAGCCAGGACTGTGGCTGACGACCCCCAGCTCCCAGGCCTCTCACACCAGACTACGCATGTGGGGAACTAGAATCTGAAACAGGCCTGAAGCTAACACACAAACTTTGCTTGCTGGGGCCCCCAGCCCCTCAGCGACAGTTCCCTCTGAGCCACGTGTTCCTTCCACCTGTCCCCAGCTTAATCAGAGTCAAAAGTCCTGAGGACTTCCCCACCCAGCAGGTGAGGTAGGGAGGGGCCCCTTCTCAGGCCTGCTAACCTGCAGGGGGCCTCCATCAGGGGTCAAAGGGCAGGCTGGGGGCCCGGCCAGGCTCAGCCTAACTGCTTGCCAGTGATGTTGTGATAAGGGTTTTGAAAGGTTTCTCTTAACAATGGTGGGATTCAAACCTTAACAGGTCAAATAGTGATGGCCAGATAGTGACCTGCCCTTCCCTCCACCCCAGGGGCTCCACGGGTCCCCTCCCTGGTCCACTGTCTCCCTACTTGTTCTCCTCAGTCCCAGGAACCTGGCTTTTCTGAGTGGTCTCCTGGTTGGGTAGAGAATAGCCCAGGGCCAGCTTCCCTTCCTTCTGAGCACCTGCCCAGGAACCTGGCCCTGGCAGGCCACCCTGGCAGATCTCCAGGATGTGGCCTCAGGGGCAGAGGTATAAGGGACCTGGGTGAGTCCTTGGAGAGTCCCCTCCATGCCACCTGCCACAGGCACGTCCCAGGGCTCGGTGGGCCAGGTTTGTTTTCCCCCAGTCCCTCCAGTCAGGTCCACGGCCAGATAAGATGAGAGTATCTGGGACCAGCTCAGGTCACTCCTGGGACTCCTGTACCTTGCTGGCTGTGGGTGGAAAGATGAAGCCTTCTCTTTCCAAGTCTGGCTCCATCGTGAATTCACAGTTTGAACGCTCCTGGAATCCGAGGTGCCTTCCCGGCGCCCTCCGAGCGCGTGGGTTTAGCTCCCACTTTCCCTGATGAATGTCCCTCTAGGGCAGCCCCAGTGAGCCAAGCACATGGGGTGGTGGCGGCGGTGGGGGGGGGGGGGGTGGAACCTCGGCAGGGCCACCCAGCAGCTATAGGCTCAAGGCCCTCGGGATAAAGCCACCCCACCTCCCCTCCCTCCAGCTGTTCCCTACCCTCTCTGCCAGAGGCCACGCCGGGAACACCCATGGACAGAGCTCCAAAAGAAAACACAGAGGCCAAGGCGGTTTGGAGAAACCGGTTCAATTTCGATAGCATTTCCTTACAACTGTGCCTGGCTCAGGGCTGGGCAGCGGGTGGCGAAACCCTCCCCGTGTTGCCCAGGTCTCTGGGGGGTGGGAGCAGAAACAAAAAAGTTCTAGGCTAAGGCCGCTGCTATGTCCTGGATGCAACAACCTGTAAAATCACGTTAATCAAGGAAACGGACGTCCCGCTAAAGTCTGTGGTACTGCACTCTTTAAAAAAAAAAAAAAAACAAAAATAAGATGCCCAAGCCACAGCTTAGGATGATGGCCCCCTGTCCACTCTGAGATGTTGCTGTGATCTGAGTCCTCGATCAATCCTGGACCCAGTCATCACTTTGGGGTCATGTGGGAAGGTGACCTCTCGCCCAGTCCCACAATCCTTGCTCGGTAGAGGTCCCAGTGATGTCCCAGGAGGGTGGCATCGGGACACCTGGTAGGCTGAAGCACCCAGTGGGGGACAGTCTGCTTTCTGATTGGGGCCAGGACGGAAAAACAGTCACCTTCCCTGAAGTAAGGGAAGAACACAGTTCTCTAGAAAAAAGTCAGATTTGCCAAGAGAGGAGATGCTGGTGCTGATTTGTATGTCGATTTGGGGGTAAGTGGGGAAGAGGGAAAAGGAGCCGGGTCGGGGTGTGGGGCTGGCCCGGCCCTGCCAGCCTTCCTGGTGGCTGGGGCACTCAGAGGTTGCTGAAGAGTTCGTTTTTCTTGCTCCAGTCCATCTGCGGGGCCCGTTTGCTGCTGCGCTTCTGGTGGGCCCTCTCTTTGGCCACGGCCAGGGAGATGTTGAAGTCCAGAATGGGGTCGGAGGAGGAGGAGGTAGATGAGGGTGCCGTGCAGTCCTGTTTCTTGAGGCTGTCTTGGGAATTCAGCTGTAAAGAGGAGGGGGCGGCAGAGTGCGGGAGTTAGTGCCTTGGCGAGGTGGCTCCCTTGGGGCGGTGCCCAGGGAAGCCAGGTCACAAGAACTGAACGTGGCTCAGCATGTGACCTCCACACAGGCTGGTGTGCCAGGATCAAATGTGGCCTGGGAATGGACTTCCTGTCACCCAGTGCCACCCCCCTCCGCCCAGCCGGCCAGCCTACCTCCTCACTGGGGTCACTGGAGGTGGATCTTGCCAGGGTTGGCCTGGGGCTCTCGGAGGCCGTCTTGGCCAGGGCTTCACGACTGTTCTCCTGGCACAGAGAGGAGGCGTGTGGGTGGGCAGGGCATGGGGTGGGCAGTCCTGGGCGAGGAAGGGCATTCCCAGGGAAGACAGGCGCCTCGGTCTGAGAAGTTCCACTTAAGCCCTTGCTATCCACCCCAGAGCCCCACCGCCTGAGCCTGCCAGGGCCCCTCGAGGATTTACATTTTCACATTCTTCCAAGGATCAGAGGGTAGCCCGGTTCCACCACCCAGGCAGGAGGAACCATCCATCGTGGGATTAGCTGAGTTACCCGCCCCAGTCCTCCCAATGCAGCCTTTGGGGCTGACTCGCCTTTTGGGACGGCGACCCAGGAGGGGCCTCCTGGAGTGTGGGGACACTGGGAGCATCTTTGCTTGGCGTGGGGAACGCCCGTGATGCTCCCTGAATCTCCTGCAGCCCATCTGACTGTTTACTTGGACTTGACCCCGGGATTCTTGAAATCTTAACCCCAAAGCAGCCAAGAAGGGCTTTGAAGGAAGGAGGTGGATGAGAGTTCTAGACCCACAGGTAGAGTGACAGAAGGCTCAGGTGGTCCAGGGCCAGCCCCTTGCTGTGTCTGTCCCCCAGCAGGAGCCCCCGGGGAAGGGAAGCCTTCGAGCAGACCCTGCAGAGAGCTCCCGTTCCGTGGTCCGACAGCGAGTCGGCCCACCCTAGAGCCAAGGCCTTGACCAGGGCTGTGGCTTGGTGCTCAGCTCCTGCCTGGGTTCCTCTGTGGCCCCAGCTGCCACCGGGCCCCGCCATGTCCCCCCAGCCTCCGCTGCCTCCTCTTCCCTCTGTCCGGGGAGGACAGGCTTTGTTCTTCCAGCCCAGACTGGAAGTAACAGGGGCCGGGGAGCGCGCGGCCAGACACTGCAGCTCTGTTCTTGGGGGGAAGAATGGCCGCCTCTGTGCGGTGGGGAGCTAGAGGCGGAGCTTGGCACCCAGGATGGCGGGCTGCGGACGGGCCGGCCAGGCCCCTCTCCCTCCCCGCTGCCTTGGGCCCAGGCGGGGGCTGAGGGATACACGGGCAGTTACATAGCTTGGGGCCCAGGAGGGAGCAGCCTGGAAACCCGTAGTTTCCACCTGAGCCAGATGCTGTCCACCTCCCACTGCACCCCAGGACTCAGCGCCAGAGAAGCAATTAGGGGTCTGCCTTTACCTTCCGGATCTCTCCATTGGTGAAGGGCTCAGGCAAGGGACCTAGGCGAAGGAGCAAAGAGCGGAGGTGAGGCAGGCTCTGGGGAATGCCGATGGAGTGGGGCATGGAAGGCAGTAAGTTGCGGGGTTTGGGCAGATAAGCAGATCATGTTCCCCAAGGTCGGTGTTTAAAAGTCTCCTGACTGCCACCCACCGTGAGTACCTTTGACATTTTGACAACCCAGCACCCACATACATCATGTGTGTGTGTGACAAAAGTTTAACGAAACGACTTGCCCTTACCACATCGCAATGCTTTTTGATATTTTCTATTCAGTTTCATTAAAAAAAAAAAAAGAATTAAAAAAAAACCCAAAAAACAAAGATGCTGGCCTCTGCCTACTCGATTAATCCCAAGAACCACCGATGAGTAAGGAGCTGTTTGAAAAAAAGCGCTGTCCTAGAGGGGGCTGAAATTCCAGGCTGGCTGCCTACCAGCCACCCGGGAAGCTTGTTGGAAATACAGGTTCCTGGGCTTTCACATCAGTTCCTGCTTCAGTGCGTCTGGGACGTGCCTAGGAATCAATATCTTTCAAATGCTCCCTAGGTGACGGTGGCATCACCAGAACTGGGACCACACCCTGGTTATGATTAGTACCTGCCTCAGCTGAAAGAAAAGAACCCCAACTCCTACTGGCCAGTGTGGGGATCAGGGTGGGGGGGGGGGGGGACCAGAAGGCTCAGGGCAGAGTCCTGGGTGTGCCCTCCCCCAGCCAATGGGAAACCTGGTGGTGGCAGA